AGCTCCTTTGTGTTACAGGAAGAGGAATTTTCATTGTAGTATTTAATCCTAGCCTGATATCTTCTGAATTTCTCCAATCTCCGGATGATCCTGTTTTAAGTCATTTGCGTTCAGCTCTGCGTCTTACACGCCAAGCATTATGGATTTTCAGATTGTACCACGGCTTTTTACTTCTCACAGTCCATGATTTGACTGTGGACGGCGCAACAGAATCCAAAAGTTTCCAAAAACTAATAAACAGGTCAAATATTTCCTTGATATTCCGCATTTATCTGCATCATTTATTCTAATTTTTATGTTTACCTCCCATCACCTAACTCTAAAATGTCTTGGTATAAATTCGTTTCAAATAAACATGATGCTAGAAACATGCAAGAAAAACCCAAACCGCTGACTGATCTGAAGTCACTACGCAGGGTGCAAACACGCACGTTGAGTTCTGTAAATATAAAGAATAAAAAGTATGATACTCCGATTTAGAAAAGTTAACTGCGTTAAATATTTTCACGTTATACCAAAATCGTCCCCTTGGAAACATTACCAGAAATAAAGACCAGAGTTCAATAGACGCGTAGTACTTTAATAATATAATAAAGATCACTGATTCTTCTCCATGGGCACGTATTAGATGTTCTGATAAAACTGTTATCAAGGAAATGAAGAATCATTGTTCAATACTGCTTTTGCATAGCGGTAACGAGCAGGTCAGTGTGTCAAACATTAGTTGAAATTTGCTTCACGATGCCTGTCTACTCAGAACGATATACAGAAATGTGAATAGAGCGTACCACCAAAAATCGCTTCACAATGCCATTTTGCTGTTTCCAACTCTAGGTCGCATGCTTCCAATCCTGGCTTGATTTGCTTGTCCGTAGAATATTTTAATTATCTTGTTTTACGTTCGGAAGGAATTTCTGTTGTAACTTACATCCCTAATATCCGCTCCCAAACTAAAGTGGAACACACCCATAATCTGGATCGCATATTTCAGAGGAGTCACATCCGATGTTGGTGTCTGGAAGACAGACTAGACCAGGAGGGACGACAGAAGAAACCATTTCAACGAATAATCGTTTAATCCAGCATCAGCTAAACAGGCAGATTGGACTATGATATGATTAAAGGCTTTGATCCCTAGAAGCTGTAGCAGGCCTTTGGTGTGAGGCTCTGTTAATTAAGGGATATCAAGTCAAAACAAAACGTCTTGCCAAGGGTCTCATCTGAAGTCACAGTGACAAAGCTATATCTTCATTTTATCCATCATAAGAAATAAAGCTTTTTTTTCTCGATGGAGAATATGGTAATTCGTCATGCTTTAGCGTCTTCCTTTTTTCATTTTAATTGAATATGACAAAAAAAAAATCCCCATACTTACTCGGACCTGTATTGCCCCCGCCTGGACCTGGAGGTGAATACAAAAAGTTGACGACCTTACACTTTCGGTAATATTAGTCAATACCCCTTTAAAGATTCATTTACATCAGTGAAACGAAAGTCTTGAGCATTGAAAATATTTACCATTCTGCAATGAATGGGTTGTGGATTCAGTCAAGTTGATCCTATGGAGTTCTTATCAAGAAATGACTGATCAAACTTTACAATCTTTCAGAAACGCACATTTTTCCCTACAGTTTACGTAAAATGCTTTTACAAATTAGATACATTTGTAATTTTGCCCTAACCAAAACAAACATACATTTGAATTGATTTTTATCTGCTCCGAGGCAGGCATCGACTTGCACTGATCTCCATGAATTTTAAATGGTCTAAATGGGAGCTACGTTTTTGGCAGGATATTTCTCCTTGAGTTCAGGCATTTTTTGTTCATTTTCTCTCAGCAAATATGGTAAAATTTCTTTTATAAAGGTCCTTACCTTGGGTGATATTTTTAATTTCGAGGAAACAAAATGTCACACGTTGTTTCTTGTTTAACGTTTAATTTGTAGAGTCACTGAACAAGGTTATTAAGGTGACGGTAATAAGTTTGTTTCTTCAAGCAAGTATGGATATTCCAACAAAAAGGTCTATATAACGGGTTTGGCCCTTACCCAATGTATATATTAATAAACACTGTATGCTCAGTGCTTGTCCGAGAGCTTGTCATGGTTTCGAATCCCACCCGAGTAAGCTTGCGAGTTTTTTTTCGCAAGCTATCAGACAAGTACTGAGCATACAATGTTTATTAATATATACGCTGGGTAAGGGTAAAACCCGTTATATAAATTATTATCTCCCCAACGCAAAAATACATCTTGAAAACAATGAAGTCGGAAAGCAAAAGATTACGCCAGAAGACTCAGGGGGATATTCTGCTTAAAATCAGACATTCTTTTAAGTTTCTTCTACTTTATGTGCAAATATTTTGCAACTGCCAATTTTCATGGGGATTTCATTTTTACTGAGAAAGAATAAAAGAGAATACTAATTTTTGGAAATTTCTTAGTCAAAGTTCCGGAGGCGTGATCTTAGGGGTCAACATCCAGGTAAATAAAATAAAGGCAGAATAGGTTGAAATTTAAAATTACAGATTTTGGCACCACACAAATTCCAAGTGTACCACGTTGACTTCACAAGGCTTTCTCTAAAACTGATGCCAGATTTTAAACATTATGTAAATTTTGGGAAGCAACAATAGCTTTTGTGAAATCAGTTCTGTCACTCTGTTTACCTTGAATAATGATAGAAGTTACTGGTAAAAAAAGGTCGAAAACCTACATGCTGATTGGGAAATTCAAACAGCCGTGTGTTTAACATATTTTAAAATTCCTGGCGGATATTCAAGAGATTTTTTTAAATCAAATTGAATTGTTTAGCATTTAACTAAGAAAGTTACTTAACAACTTCACCAGGTGGACGGCACGTTTGAGTTTCAGGTTAAGTATGAATTTTCTAACAGTAAAGCTGGGAGGAAAAAAATGAAGCAGTGAGCTTTGTGAACCCCTCCATGGTCAGCCCTTGAGGGCTCCACACGAGGTAACCCTATCTTGCTATAACCCTTGAAATAACCAGAAAAAGCAGGCAGGTAGGAATACTGCCTGCGTGATACTTACCGCCGATTGCGGCTTGTCGGCGACCTGAAGGTGGATAAAAAAAACCCCATTTCATTAACGACCTTAAACTTTCGGCAATGCAAGTTACATTGTTCGTGCACTTTCTCCCTTTGTACACTTAAGTAGAAACGAGAGTGTTCAACGTTGTAAGGGTTTACCTGTTTGCAGTCGATGGATTCAAGAATTAGTCAAACTGCCCCGACGCAGTTCTCATCAGCAAAGGTCAGATCAAAGTTTAGAACCCTTTTCAAATGCATTTTATTCCTTCAGGTTAATTGCTTTGCATGTTTTAAAATGCTTCAAATGGCTTGATCTGTTTACATTTTAGCGTTTACCGAAAGGTTACCCTAAAACAAAATGTGCAGCTTTGAATCTTTGAACACGGTATTTTAGACTTGCACACGTATTTCAGATTTTTGAAACCGGGAAGGTGGTTTGTTCCATTGTATTTCACTTTCGGGGTCTGCAGTAACTCAGTTTCCAAAAATAAGTTAGACAAATGCCAATTATTCCTTGGTTGCTTGTTTAAAGTAATAGGAAACGTGCAAACAAAGAAAATGTTTTGTGTTTTTATATTGCACAATATGTTTCCCACTCAAAGGTTCTAGACGCAGGTTGCATTCAGACAAAATAAATCTTTCTGTTGCAATTGAATTAAAATCGTCTTTCTTTGCAAAGTGGAAAACGCACTGAAAGATTACCCACTTGCCTCTGGTGTAGCCTTTGTTTATATCTCACGCTTTCAGATGGGGGTGCATCACATCGAGCAGCACGCATAGCGAAATACTAGATTTGGCAGCAGTCTGTTTGCGTTGAGACTGTTTGTAAGGCCCCGTGATGCGACAAAGCACCGACAACTCTGAAAAAGCACGATCTTGGTGAGCGGTCTTCTGCTTAGCGTTCCACTGGATACCGAGGGAAATTTCTCGGCTTTGTTTCCACTTGCCCGAACCAAGTGGATGGTGGATACGTGCCAATTATGAGACAGAGGGGTACCCCTCCCCTTCCTTTTCCAATCCCTAAACACACTAATCGTTCAATGTACTGAACGACTGGTGGTGGATAATTTCACGCAAAAAAACCGCCGGGGCGGGGAATTGCCGAAATGGTGATTAATTAATGACATGCTTGGGTGAGAGAAGCTGCGTGGGAATTGGGAGTCATAGAAAGCTCTCTCTCTTTCTTTTTTTTTGCGAATTCCCAATTTTTTGGAAGGGGGTGGGCGTAGGGCTTAGGATACAGAGGGAGTCCAGTACACTAGCACCAGTCTGGGACTAAAGCCTGGTTTCCACATGGTTATACAGAACGCCGATGGCGGGAAGACGTCAATTTGTGACGTTGCACATGACATATTACGTGACAATGCCACCCCAGAAAGCTCAACAAAATTGTGACGGAAACCCAGGAATTGTCCACTAAAAATTCTTTGCCAGGTATTTACACTTCCCCTTGAAGCTAAGTTGACACTCAGGTTTAATACTTTTGTAGTGGTCAGCAATTTTGTTGAAGATTGCAGCTGCATACATCACTAGTACGGAGATATTGGTGACATTGGGGGTACTATGCGAGAGATGCATCGTATAGGCAAGTGAAGCCAGCCTTCTCTTGCATCTCGACACAGAGAGTCGGTATAACAGGAAGAGCGGGTTAGCGTAGCGGTTTTTTTCCCTCGCTTTGCACCAATAAGGCCCGGGTTCCGGTCCCGGCTTGGCCTAGGCTTTAAGTGCATTTGGTTTCAAGTCCATACTCGCTCTTTCAGGGGTTTTGTTTTTTTTGTTTTTGTTTTTTTTGTTTTTTGTTTTTGCTTTGTTTTGTTTTTCTGGGCACTCTGGTTTCCTCCTGCCTCTAAGACTGGACCCTCTTCCTAACTCCGTAATGTGATGCTGATTAATGAAGGTTACGAACAAACGTATAGTTATTGGCGCAAATAGCTTGAGTAGTTGAACACGCTATTAAAACAAAACAACAGTCGGTAAATTCAATCTGCTGACTTCCGCCGTCCCTATTTGCGTCAGTTGCTTTAAAGTGTTTCCATCTGATGTTGTGTCTTTTGAGACTGCCAAATCCCTGCTTCGTTTGCCAAATCTGTCTTTGCCACAAAATATTTTAGAGCACCTATCACCAGCCAGACAGAAATACTCAAATGAAAGACCCAAACATGATTTTCAGGGGTTTTCCGGCAAAGAAGTGTATTTAATTTTTCGACAGTCGTGCTGGACGTTCGCCGGAAAACACACCTACGGTCTTGAACGTCAAACGACCGCGAAGAAAAATCGTAAGTATCAGTAATTTGAAAAATACCATAACAATTTTTCATATTCTGGAGGCATTTACGTACATGGTAAGTTTTATACAAATCAAGGTGAGGACAGATTATGTGTGATTAATGTATTGAGTTGTAAAAAAGACCGGCATTTTCAAAGTGTTTGGTGTGTCTAACGAGGGTAACATTTTTTTTTCTGCTAAACAATGGATCACTTCTGAAGATTAGTTTGGAAAATGTGCAGTGATTTGGCTCATGACACTTTTGGAGCACAACTGTCAACTCTACGGTGAAAAACAAACAAAAAAAACTGCTGGAGAGAGATACGAATAAAACAAAAACCGTGGAGAGTATTATCTAACAGGAAAAAAAGGTAATCCGATCGGTCACGATGATAGCTCTAAACCCAAATGTTTCAGAGGCAAAACCTGTTTTGGGGGGAGAAGACAAACTTGTTTCCTTCTACCTTTTCAGGAGGGTACCGGGCTACATTGTGGAATTTATAACAGGCTCCTTAACAGAAAGCAAATTGATTCTGACAAGGGCTTCCTTAGGCCTAATTGAGCTATAATTTTCAGATAGCACTTGGGGGTCTCATTTTCTGCAGGGAATAGTTTTAGTCAGAATTAAACCACTGCATTCCAATTGGAGGCAACTTTTCTTGTTGATCATTTATTATTTTTTTGGCCCCTCCCCCCTTAACTGTTGATCAACGGTTGCCTTTTCTTTGAGTTCCTTTATTAACCATTAACTGTTTACAAAACAAATCGCAAACATAAAAACTTACCTAAATCCTGACGGGTTTCTTCATCTTTCAACTGAGGAGACAGTCCGGCTTCATCTGTGTAGCAATGAACCGGGGGTTACTGCCATACATGTACTAGTTTAAGTATTTGTTCTTTATTTGTCATCATCACAAAGGACAATACAAAGATACACAAAGAGAACGGGATGACTGCAGGAGCTCAGAAAGTGAACCTAATCACTATGGGCCTCCAGCTTGATCAAGAGAGGGCGCGCTTATCCTAGCAACCGTGACTCGCGGACGTACGGTAAATTAGAAGAAACTGGACCTGCAACACCTTTGTATGAAATAGAAGGCAACCAGCGGCCATTTTACCGAGCCGAGTACAAATGTGCGGGTTGGCTCACTTCTACTGACGCCAGGGAGAATAAAGGCGGGCATTGCTGGGCAAGCTTTATACTAAGCCCTATAAAAATGGCCGCTAGTGGATTCAGTGATTCAGTGCAGCTGATTAAGGGCATTGCGAGTCCAGATTTCTTTTTATATGTCCGTGTCGTGACTCCACTTGCGGTAATCACTGCGTTTCGCTGGCCAACGAAGGCGTTACATCACTGATTTACTTCACGGTATACCAGGTAATGCAAAGAGACTTTTCCCGAACGTTTTTGCGAGTAAGAGCTTCTCGTAACAGTGAGGCGGAAACATGAATATTGAGTTTGGCGGATTGCCAACAGGCACACAGCCCCAAACAACAACAACAACAACAACAACAACAACAACAACAACAACAACAACAACAACAACAACAACAACAACAACAACAACAACAACAACAACAACAACAACAACAACAACAACAACAAAGACATTACCAAAAAAGAAATAAGAAGCAAAAACACATCAATGCATCTATGTGTATATACATCGATGTTAATGCCAAACCCAATGGGAGAAGCAATTA